TTGTCGAAAGTCCATCCCATTTAGTGCGAACGTCAAAAAAAAATACAGCTTTCGGCAATTGGCGGAAGTCAGTCCCGTTTACGACGAAAGTCAAATGAAAACACAACTTTCGACAATTGCCCAAAGTCAACTGCCAAAGTCAGCACTGCAAAATTCCTGTTTCCCAGTAAAAACAAGTCGCTGACCCACACCAACACCCACACCCTACACCCCATCCACACTCACACCCCACCTACACCCACATCACCCACACCCTTTTTGATGGCTATATGTGAAATCAACATAATAGGTAACCCATAATCTACTGGTACTTAGTGAGAAAACGATTTTTGGGTTGAAAATGTTTCCTTATTAGGCAAACAAGATGCAGATGTCAAGAACATCTTCGATAGGATGAAAACTTCGAAAGATGATAGTAATATTTCATGTTATGTGAACATTCACTATTGCTACTGATACTAGTTTTCATTATCGCGTGATTACCCAATCTCGTTTTTTATTTCCATTTTCGCGAAGAAAACAGAGTTCGCACTTCAAAATCCTCATTTTTTGAAGCGAATCCAGAATGAACAGAACTTCATATGAAAATTTTGAAAAAAACCGATCATGTAGGAACATGAAACTTTATAACAATCTTTAAACAAAAATCGTACGACTGCTTGATGTTTGGATCGTCTTGACACAAAAAAAACCAATCTCAAGTTATATGCGAGGGAAAAACTCGCAATTGACTGCTTGACAGTGATTTGTATCGTAATAAGAAAATTTCCATAGTTATATGACAAAAATGTTTCCTTATTCTTGTACATAACATTTGACTTTGAAACAGATGATTTCGTTCAAAAATCTTATATCATGGGCTAAGTCATATTAATAAAAGTTTGTTTCATAAAAGAACATGAGTGAGATGGATCATAAGGTTTTGTTTAACAAAAAAAAAGACATAGTACTTAAACAGGTCATTAGATAATCTTAGTGTCTATATTAATTTGTTCAAGAACATCATCCTGCATGACATACATTTTTGAATGCAAACAAAAGTCATTAATTGTTAAACTTACTTGAACATGTATATTTGCTATCTTCATTTAAATTGTAATTAATTCATAATAAATTATATAACGAATATTTTTCCTATAATGAGTAATATTTTTGATGTATTAATTATTTAGATAAATATAAGAAAATTTTAAAAGTTCGAAGTCGATTGTTTATAGAGTTACCATTAGAATTAATATCGAACTTTATAAGATAATAAAAAAGAGATCCTGGAAAAAGTCCAAGTAAATTTATTCCTACGATTCTAACTAATCAAACGAAAATATTTCTTTTATTGGGATGCGTCTTAGTCTATCTACTCATATTTTTGTTTTATAATGAGTGACAAAATGCTAACGTGTATATGATTATATTTTCCATAGAGCTCATTTTTGTATCGTATTGTAAATAAACTATTTAGCTTACTACTGTTATTAACAAAAAAATTCGTGCTTTTACTATCTGATTTACACTCTTAAATTCACAACGATTTTCTAAAATAATTCATACTAAGATAAGTATAGAAATAAAGAGAAAAATCAATAAAATTGAAATAAAATTATACAGCTAAATTTTATTTTACACCCTGTCTTCTAGTTCCATACGAGAAAATAATGGCTATAAAAAGATTTGAAAGACATAGAAAAATAAAATATCAAATATCGTAATGAGCAAAACATAGTATTACATGTAAAAAGTCTTTATGATTCTGTATCCCAATGGATCAATGCTGAATATAATTAGTTATCACTTTTATTTCGGTAGCGTTCTACAGTTAACCGCTTATTTTTATGAGCTATTTATTTAAAAAAATTGAATATTTTGGCTTCTTTATAATCAAGAAAATATTTGATTCACAATTCATATGATATCGACAGCAGTAGACACCATCCAAAAATTAGAAATTTAACATCGATTGAAGTGTAATCCGAGGAAATTCAAGGCATTGTACAATAAGTGAGTTTGAAACACTGCTACATACAATTCCGATATGCGTGTTCCAAACACTGAATTCTACTTGATTTCTTGAATTTCAGAATTCTGGATGGTGAAGATATCTCTTTTTCTGATATTATTTTTAATTAATTAATTGAAGAATTATTTCTTATAGATTATTATAAATAAACAGTCACAATCTAGTCAAAAACTGCACTCATTTATATATGTTTTGTCCTGTACATCAAAACTACTTTTAGATCCTGTTTTACAAAAGCTGTATTTAAAAGTCTCCGTAAGACCTCACGGAATTCTGACAAACTTCGTGTAATTGTAAAAGACAACGTGTGATTTAAGAAGACTTCAAGAAAATTCAGAATTGAAGTCTCTGTTTTTTTTTTCTCTCATGTAAGCTTTAACTTGACGAATAAAAGCTTCGAAGTTTCCTCCATTATATAGTGGAAGTGTCAAAATTCTTACAAAGAAACTATATGTAAGTGTATTTCTATTAACAAACATGTCAAGAAGATTGATAATAACAAATGGTAATATGCATACATTTCGTATTAAATAATGTAAAAATAATATCCGAATCAAATTACGGCCAAGACATCGATGAAGATTGTTTATACTTGGTAATTCAGGTCTAATTTAACGTAATTGACGACGAATATTTATCGCTATAAGTAAACATAATAAACTCATACACATAGATGGAAAAAAACAATAGATCACTAAATAAAATATTCTTCAAAATGAATCATATGTTCCTTGTTGAGGATAACAAATTATATTTGATCCATTTGATTGAGTTTCAAAATATATAACCATATGTGAATAAAGAATAGCAACCAGAATAATTACTCCACAAATACATCGTTTTGCTATTTTATTATTCTTCCACGAACGATGTATTATTGATGGTGAACTCGAACAATATCGATCAAAACAAGCTAATATAAAAAGATAAGGTGATAAATCTAAAGGCATATAGTCAATATAAATTCTGAATTTAGAAACAATGCGTGATGAAGATCCAATACCAATAGAGAACCCATCAATAAGAAGTCTGTTAAGTTTTGTTAAATAAATTGCCAAATGTTGTCAATTGAAGCAGCAATAAAATATAATGCATATGATGTACGTAAAAATCTAGGACGAGTGAATATATATAAATTGAGAGCATTCCTGGTTGTTCCGAAAATTATGAATAAAATCCAAAGAATTCTTGTTAATTGTTCAGTAATAGCAAGCAACAAGTCTAATAATTAAAAACCGATAATATTATTTGTAATATGTTAAAAAACATGAAAATAATAGTAATATGTATAGCTCCGCTTATGTAATTATCTTCTCGAAAGAAAAAAAATCCTTATTCGGTCTTTTTAATGATAATTAAAGCATGTTATTTTTCTGAGATCACTTCTAATTACAACGTTGAAGCATAATTTATTATAGAATATTATAAATAAGCAGTCACGATCTACTGGAAAGCAACGCTAATTTATAGATTCTTGATATGAAAAATATTAATTAGTGGAATAAGTGGTATTTACAATAATCTTAATTGATAATGCTCTGTAATCGAAATTATTATTCATTAAAAATTATCAGTAGCGCATAATAAGTGAAGACAGCTATGCTTACAAACATAAAAACAGATGACACATAAGCTAAGGCTGTAGTGCGAAGCACTGTCGAACCTAGAATTTGGAAAATAATTGGTAACCATAGTCACAAAATGTGTTTTGAAGTTAATTCGGAATCGTATTCGCTCATTTTTAGGCGTTTTATACTAAAAAAAACCGAGAAATATTTAGAAGAAAAGGGATAATTCTTCATTAATGCGACATATTTTGGCAAACTGGATTGTCGATTTTGTCGAAGTATCAAATTCAGCAAAACAGCCTCTGTTTCTATATTGTAAAAAGTAGAACGAGAAGTTTGATGCATGATTAAATATATTCATCACAAAATCAGTTATTAGGAAAAAAAATGAATTTTGAGCTAAATGAAAATCGATAAATGTTGTATCAAAAACTCATGAAATTTATAGTACTTAGTATATGAGAGTTCTTGACAAATTTTCATTAATCTTTTGTGTTGAATTCGTTCTGAACCTCTATCATTGAGTGCAATACAATGCACATACCAAGTGTTATCTTCGATATAGTGAAAGCTTTGAAAGATGGCAGCAGTATTTGATCTAAGGTGAACACTCTTAAAGTCATCGTGACACAAAAAAAACAATCGTGAGTTATATATTGGGAAAGAAAAACAGACTCGAGATAGGCTACTGCACAGTGGTTCATATCATTGTATCTTAGAGTGGACTTCGAAAAGGATAATGGTTTTTTTTTAAATTGTATATCATCAACTAAGTGATGTAAATAAAAATTTGTTTAATAAAAGAACATGTGTGAGATAGGTCAAAAGGTTTGTGTTTGACAGAAACAGAGACATGAGATCTAAACTAGTTCTTAGATAATTACAGTTTTCATATTAAGTTGTTGGAAAGCATTATAATACATGACATTCATAATGAATGCAAGCAAATGCCATTAATTATTAAAATTACTTGAACATGAACTTTAGCGATCTTTATGTAGATTTTAGTTAATTGATTGAAATATAAATGTATGTTAGGTATGTGTGCTCTAATGAGCAATTTCTTTGATGAATTAATTATTGAGATGGAATGCGAGCAGTTTTTTTCTCAGCAAGTCTCTTGTAATTGTTTATCGAAATTGTATAGGTTATGTAAATATATATTTTAGAATGTTTTTCAAATGTTAGAAGTCGATTGTTTATAGTTGGCATTACAATGAATCCTAAACTTGTCAAGAAAATTTCAAAAGAAACAAAATCTAATTGATTTTCTTCATAAGCTTCTAATTAATTAAATGAAAATATTGCTTACAGTGCAAATTTTCTAGGTTACTGAGTTGTGTCCAATCAATTTTCACTTCGAGAGTATGGCTATTCGATCAATCATGATGAATGAAGTGAAGATCTGCTTTGGTTTCGTTCTCTGGTCTTCGCTTGCTACTCTATGAGTATAGAATCACTAAGAATCTAACTGATCGAATTTCAAACTGAATTTTAGTCCATAGATAAACTTTATAGTTATTAGAAAAATGTCAGAACAAACGTATTCTTGCTACGATATTTACAATGTCAAAACATGCCTGCGCTTTAGACTTTTTCTATAATATACGAATGTTCTGATGCGAATATGTTGATTCTAGCTCAAACTTTAGGAATGCTCATCATGTCTATAAGGTTCACCTGTAGACTAAATTTCAGGTCAAAACTCGAGTGAAACACCCATAATTCAACTAACGAAAATTGGATAACTAAAACAAAATAGGCTTTTTCACTACAAGTCATCATCAATCGCATAGATAATAGTTTCAAATCAAAAGCGATGGGACATTTAAGAATGTTTCCGTATCATACATACCTAGACTATATACACAATGTAAGTGATGACCAATAATAATTGCAATAAATTGACGTGTGACAATATCTTCTACTTCCATATGACAAGAGATTGAAAATGCAACACCTATTGAAATAGCGTTCGAGAGAATTCAAGGTATTCTACAATAAAGGAGCTTAAAACATTGTCACAAAGAATTTCACTAATGAATATTTATCAAGACTAGCAAAATACAACCCCTATATGGATACTTCAAATATTAAATTACACTTGATTTCTAGACAATGGATATATCTCCAGAAGAAGTCTTATATTATATATCAAAATTTTGTAACAGTATCAATATAAAAAGCTCAAAACGTCTACATAATAGAACATGCTCGACTTTGTGGTGTAATAGGTGCACTTCGAATTCGTTGTGGCTTTTTTTCTTGTTGTTTCATTGCTGTTGTTGGTCGTTGCATATCAATTAAATATCGTTGAGATTTTTCTGTTTGTACTTCTGGTATATAGTGTTTTAATCGAGCAAGTACTAATTCAAATTCTTTTCCAATCCATCTTTCATTATCATTTTTTAAATGTCGAAAGTCAATATAAGATTTTTCAGCAAATATCATTGACATTGGACCAACTGGTGGCCATGTACTTGTTTCTTCAAGTAATAATGGTATAATAGGTTTTTGAAGAGCATCAGCTAATGCCATTTCTCGTCGACAATTAATTGATTTTATATATTTGGATGTAACACATGATAAAATACATTTAGCATGACGTATTCCAATATCAATTTTTTCAAATAATGAATCACCACCACCCATTTGAAATATATCAAGCCAACAACAATAACCTAATTTTGTTAATTTTTCATATAAATTAATAATATCTTTTTGATAATCCCATTGATATGATATCATTATTTGTGGATGAGTAACAATAAGTGGTATATTATTTTGAATTTGAATTTTATCTTTCTTATTATTTGTTATTTCTGTTTGAAGAAAAATTAAATTATCAATACGTGGTACAAACCAATTATAATATTGTTGAGTAATCATATCAGGATCAGGTGCAATATGATAACGTATTTGACCAAGTAATTCAGTAAATTTATCTATTGGCCAATAATTTTCATCATTAGTTTTTCTATCATAAAAACGTATATATAAATATTCACTCATTATTGGTCCAAGTGCACCTTCAGGTGGCCATAATTGTTTTTCCATTTGTAAAGGTATTAATGGTTTACCTGTACTTATTGTTAAATGAACTTCACGTAAACAATTATCAGATTGTGCATAATTTTTATTCATACAACAAATAATAACTTTAGCACCACGTATACCAGCATCAATTTTAGAAAATAATCTATCACCACCACCCATTTGTCCTATATCCATCCAACAAGAATAACCAGCTTGTTCAAGATTTGTTTTAAGTTTTAAAACAGCTTTTTGTGAACCCCATTCATAAGATAGAAAAATTGGTGGCAAACGTTTAATATCCATTGTTATATCATCTGGTATAAGTTCACCAGCAGTTGTAAGAGCTTGACGAATTATTTCTTCAACATCTTGTCGACCTATATCATTTAAAATTTTTAAAAGTCCATATGTTGCTTCATCAGTTTTATGTGTCATAAACCATTCATTAAGTAAAGACATTGATGGATCAATTTGCATAGACCAATGTTTTAATTCACTTGTTGAATAACCAAAACGTTTACCAAGTAAACGCCAATCATTATTAGTACGTATATTAAGAAGTTTACATACATCATGACCCCATATAGATGGAACATAACTTAATGTTTTCATATCGATACGTTCTATTTCTCGAGTATGTTGTTCAACTTGTTCAGCTATATCATTTATACGTGTATCAAATATATTAATATGTTGATTAAGATTGGTAATCTATTTATTAGAAAAAGAAAACAAAAGGATTATTATTATTAGTGATGTTGAAGAAAATAATAATGAATTTGTTATAAATTATTTCTCAATTCGATCCAACTAGTTAAAAAAGAGAATTATTTTGATCAAGATTAGATAATGAAGAAGTATATTTTCTAGAAATACTAACTGACCGAAATCTACAATGTGGAATAAAATGATTGAAATTTTTAGTTTATCTCTTTTCTTTTTTTTTTTGTTTGAAAAATTTTAAAAAACTCTGTAAAGAAATTAATTAATTAAAAAATCTTACATTTAATTCTTGATGTTTAACTATTTTTGTTATATTTTGTACATCACGTTCTGTATGAACAACACGTTTTTCTATTTGTTCTATTTCATTAAGTGTACGATTAATAGCTGCTTGATTTTCCTCACTTAATTTGTTTCCATCAATAAAATTAATTAAAGTTTGACAAGAAGAATTTGATTCAAATAGTATTAAATCATTACGTTTAGTTGCAAGAATTTTTTTATATTTAATACCAATTAATTGACATGTATAAAAAATTTGTGATTTTAAATCATTTGAAATATTTTTTGTATTTTTTATTAAATTAATTAATAAATTAATATATTCATCAGCTGTTTTTTCACCTTTCATAATTGTTGATGCAATTAAATATTGTTGTAGACAACTAAATGCTGCTAAACTATGTTTTTCAATAACATAATATAAAAGTTCATTTTGATATTTATCAAATAAATGTGATTGTGCATTGGCTACATAACCGAGTGTTTGAAAAATAGAATTTATTTGATCAAATGAACTCGTATGATTTTTAATTGAATTAAATAAATAATCAATATGTTTTGATGTTATTATTTCTGGATGTACTTTAACAATAGTACCGAAAAGAATAGATAGAGATGTTAAATATTGACCATTACAATCGAAAAGAGCATGAATAAGATCATCGAGTCGAGCATGAAATGATTCTGGTTGTTTATTGTATAGTGGCTACAAATATTTCACAAGCTTTCATAAAAATCCATGTATAAAATCTGCCTTTAAAATTTTGTGTTTGTCAAAAGATCGATCTACAGATTTTCCGAGATTTAAAGCAAGATTAGTAATAGCATATGTTTCAGAAATAGAATCTGCCAATATCACAAGTCTTCTCTAGAGAAAACGAAGGAAGAGGGAAGAAGAATACCACTGTTTTTCGACTATCATATGGTTTTCGGTGTTGACTGGTAGCAGATTCACTAGTCCGATATCTTTCCTACAACTAATAACAGCGTAGCACAGAGTTTTTGAGCTCACTTACTTGAACTCTCCATAGAAACTTACTGGCTCCATGAGCAAGTGTATATGAGGTCATAATCTAAGTACTATTGTATTCATGGTGCGAGATAATAGCTGTTAGTAACTTGTTCCGAATCATACTATGATGACCCTCCTCCAGAGATATCGATATAAAAGACTGTACTGCGTAAGGAGCAGATATTTGAACCTTATTACAAATCAACAAATTCATATTTTTTTTCTGCTCTCAATACCACAATATGATTTAGGTGCGTGAGTTCTCTATTTGATAACACTCATACTTCCCCATTCAGTAACTTCCCTGAAATTACAAACTTCTATCGCGACAGAAAGTTTAATCAAAATATATTGGCTTCTCAAGTAATGCAAAAAAGAGTTGCAGAAATCATTTGCTCAATAAATTGAATTTTATTACGAAATCTTTTCTCCCTATAGTTCATACTGATGTTTTTCACATTCGAATAGGATTATTAAAAGTTTCTTGTCAATCAATAAAAACAAATTCATACAAAGTTCACCATTTAGAACACTACGTAAAACCGAATAATCTCACTTATAAGTAGAACCTGTCGGATCAGTCTTGGGTCTAGCTAGATCCGAGTCTGGAAATTTAAAATCCGGCAGGTACTAATTACGAAATACAAAAAACCGGAAAAAAGCATCTCGTACTTTCAGGACAATTATCTAATTTCAATTAAAAAATTTCATTCAGATTATCAAATTGTGAGTCGGTCGAATGCATAAATTTTTGATCCAAAAGTTTCTACTTACAGGAAGTATTGACAATAACGTTAATTGTTTATGATCGATGATTTCATTAAGAAATTGTGAAGTATGATTAACAGCTATATTTGGATATTTTATACCAATGATACTCCAAAAATTAATCCACCATGAATGTAAATGTTGTTCATCTTCGTTATATACTAGTTGATATAATCGATCCAGACAAGGTTCATAAGGACGTGCATCATCTTCATTCTGAATATATAATCCAATTCTACACCATAAACCTAAACTAATTGCATGTGATAATGTCATATATCCATTTTCAGTAGTAAATGGACAATTAAATGCTGCTAAAGAAAATGAAACTATTTGTTGATGTAATGTTATTGGTAAAGTTTTCAATTGTGCAAGACATTCAGCTAATAATTTACCCATATACTTAGAAAAATACAAATAATAATAATAATAATTAATTTTTGATTTCAACATAAACTTACTCTAAAAAAATTATCATGAAGTTGATGAAAATCATAAGTTGCATCATTATTATCAATTTGTTTTTGAAATATTTCAAGAAATTTACTACATATATCAACAGTTATTTGTTTTTGATCAATTAAATCTATCATAGTTTGTCCCATACGATAAACATGTTTACCATATGGTTGACCTGTTTCATTATTAATAATTGTTGACCATTTTAAAATAGCTTGTAAAGCTAAATCATGTGTTGCATGTAATATTGTTATATTAGTTTTACTTCGTTCACAAATTAAACTTAAAATTTTTTCTAACTGATCAATATCAGTATCAAATGTATCATTAAGAATATTATCATAAGTAATACATGCTTGTATAAGTTGAGTTATTTTTTTATCTAATTGTTTCCATGGATAAAAATCACTTATAGATATTATACGATCAGCAATTTTAGGAGCTTCAATTATATTTAAATTAAGTATTGCAAGAATGAAATCAAAAAATAATTCTGCTAATTGTTTATTAAATTTTTTCTTTGTTAATTCATAAGATATTGATGATATTAAAGTTTTACATAAAAGACTTCGTGATTCAATATTAACTAATGAACATATATGAATTAACATATGAAGTAATTCTTCAAGATTAAGTATTGAATTAAAATGAATAATAAGAACATTATTCATAAAATATTCTGCATGATCAATTCGATTTTGAGATACAAGTTTTTCAATAATTGTATATATTTCAGATACATGTATTTTAAATAGATCAATTTGACATTGATATGATTTAGAAATCCAAAGAACATAATTGGATGATATAGAAGGTTCAAGACATGTTGTTAAATAAGATAATGCATCGTCTGAATTAGTATAACTATTGAATAATGTTGGTAATGTACGTTCAAAAACAAGAAGAACTTCTGACCAAATTTTTGATTGGTATGAATTACGAGATGCCCATCTAGTGAAATAAATATATATATAGCTTTGTTGAAGAAATACAATGAGAGAAAAGAATATTAAAAATTATTATGATAACTGTCAAGTAAACGATCAAACTGTTTATTGTGCTAAAGAATATTTTTGGAGAATGATTTATCAGAAAATTTTTAAACTTTAATGGTAGATAGATCTTGATAAGTAGAAGAAAAATCTGAATGATTCCTTGCAGGAGATATTAAGGTTGTGAACACAAATATATCGTTCTCTTTTTTACAATACGTCTAATAGGACTAAAGACTATTTTATCTCTTTCCATACAAAGAAAATCATCAAAATCTTGAGAGCATTCCCAAACATAAATGTTTTTTTTTTTTGTAAACTCCGAAAAATACTAGCGGTATATTACACTTTCAAACAAAAAACACTTTCCGGTTAGGATAAGTAGAAGAAAATTTCAGCAGGGTCGATTAATTCTTGGAAAACGACCAATAGATAGAGAATATTCGAAAAAGTCTATATAGACTATAGAAGTAGCAAAAATGAAAGATCTAAAAATAGTTGCTTTATCAGAAAGAAGATTCCTTCCATCAACCGAAAGACATAACAAATACAATAAACCATCCGAATTCTCTATTTTTTCTTCGAGATTATTAATCTATTCGATTACGCTATTTGTTTAATCAAATAAAATTCAACAAAACCATATTTTTCTATATTTGTAATGAATTTATAAGAATTTACTCAACATAGAGAAAATACTACTTTGCTTATTTTAATGAAATGCCTTCATTCTCAAGTTACTCCGTTCAATCCTACAGGATCTACTAAAACCAAACATTATCCGTCATTGAATATCGAATTCAAAACGATAAATGATTGTAAAAACTTTCCTTTGCATAAATTCATTGTTCATTAGAAGCAATCAATAAAATAAAACAATCATGAATTAGGGATGTAATAATGATGCATCATACCTTCGACGCCCGTTGTATCAATCTTACATACAAGTTTATAGTAGTTTTGGACTGATTTGGATTTTTCGGCTGAGGAGGCCATTTCAATAAAATAGGTGAATTTGACAAAGTTAGATTAAGAGTGTCAATCATTTTTGAGAGTTTTTTTTGTGCATTACAGAACGATAAAAATAAAAATGCAATTGTAAAATTACCTGTACAATTGTTGAAAACTACTTCTCATATGAATCATTGTATCTTCATAATTTAATTTGTTTTTATCCATAGTTATTGGTGTAAAAATACCTCGTGTTACAAAATATTCCCATGCTTCATGTATTTTACTATCGAAATTTTTGTCTAAAAATTCATGTTTTTGTAAACAATTAAATATAATATCAATTAAATCATTAGATAAATTTTTTGTTAATTCTTCACCAAGTCGAAAAATAAAATAAAAGTTTTGTAGAAATGTTAAATAAAATAAATTATTTGTATTTAATATATTTAATATACGACAAAATATTCGTACTAATTCATTTAATGATGGTTTCGGATCATCTATACATTGTTTAATTATTATTTCGAGAAATGTTAATTTTAAATAAAGTATTACTTCTGTATCAGCTAGAATATAATCAACAAGAGCATCTAATGATTTGATTTTGGCAATAATAAAATCAATTTCTGAATTCGTATTCAATAATTTATTTAATTTATTAAATATATCTGGCCATTGATTTTCAAATTGTTTATTATCATGAGTTAATTGTCGTATGAATTCTTCCATGATGTCGATTGTAAAGAATAAAATCAAAATTTTTCTTTTTATTATCGTTTCGAATATGTGTAAATAGAAACAATGTATAAGCAAAATTTTATGACAAAGAAGAACAACATCAATGTCATTTAATATGACAGATGAAATAGTAGAAAAAAAAATCTTATTCGTTTCGTTCTTATGTAAAGAAACCCCTCCAAAAAAAAAAAGAAATCTTATTCCCTAATGACATATTTCATTTTATTTTCATATTACTTCTTATATCCATACATATTTATATAGAAAATATACATAAGAGATCGAAAAAAAAACACACATGTCTTTTTAACTACGAGTATTTGCAATATTTTCTCGTTCATCAAATTGATTTAAATCTAATGTAAGACAATGACTAGTTATACAATCGCCGGGCTAAAAAAAAACAAGAAACAACAATTTGTTTAATGAAATAAAATTTACTTCAGGATAAATGCCAACAAGTGCATCAGCACGTGAATAAAATTGTTCTTTTAATGATATAACAATACATTGAAATTCTGATGCTGATTGTTCACGAATAAAATCAGCTACTTTACCAATATTTGTATTATCAAGAGCAGCATCAACTTCATCAAGTAAGAAGAATGGAGCTGGTTTAAAACTAAAAATAGAAATTAAACGAAAGTCACTAATGAATGAGAGGATGAGGAAAACTACAGTTAACTTTAGTACTTCTCTGATTGCTTGTACTTCTAACTAAATATCGCTGAAGCAATAGTCTTGGATTCATTTGTTCGATTATTACTATTCTTTATTAAACAGAATACTATCTTCGAAAAACTAAAATCGAACCTTGAATGCCTTAAGGGCATCCTTTCCTTTCCGAGGGTTCTTAAGAACAGTTCAGTAACTTTTTTTTTGAAACTTTCAAGGTAGATAGATCTTGATGCGTGGAGCAAAAGTTGTCATAGATTCAAAACTCTTGAATGCTTTCATCTGGGAGATTTTGGCAGATCAAAGGTCAAAAATGGCCTAAAGTTTTCTGCCTCACAAACGGCTACATTATATTTTTCAGGACTGAAATGTTTTCTCTGACAACTAGAAACAAATCTGGGTGTATCTTTTTGTTTTCTTTGAAAAATATTATTCACGAAGGTCAGAAGAAGCAAAACAGTGGAGACACTATTAAAAAAACCTTCACCCCAATTTGATTGAACTACTCATAAAAAAATTTTCTGATTGAAAATCTCGTTTCGAGAAAAAAAAACCAAAGACAGTTTTGTACCATGTAAAAAAAGTGTTTTGATCTTCTCAAAATGTGTGCGCTAGATAGTGGACATCTACATTTATATACATAATACAAAAAAGATAAATCTTAAAATTTTTGGTTGGGAAAGTCTTCTTAACTGACATTAGCTATATTTTACCTATCAATAGAACTCGCTGGCACTAAGATAACCTTCGAATTGTTAATACTCATAACTCGTTGATCGAAATGCGCAACTATGTCAATGCATCTTCCAGCTAGGATAAGGAACATGTATATGAAAGTAATTTGAAATTTTGTTTAGAAATATGTCTATTGATTTTTAGCATGCACAATATTTCTCAAGATATTAATTTTTTAGGACGGTTTTTATTATTGTAATCCATTTCGTCGTATAGGAAAACACTTTTGAAATTTGACTATCACGTAAAATGAAATCTTCTCATTGTAACTGTATATTTTAATTACATATGATTAGAAAATAAACAAACCTTCTTAATGCAAATAAAAGACATATAGCAGCAACAGTTTTTTCACCACCAGATAAATTTTCCATAGCTTGAAAACGTTTACCAGGTGCAACACAATTATATGTTATACCACCACGATATGGTTCTTCAGCATCTTCAGCTGTTAAACAAGCAACAGCAGCTTGTGAATTTGTTAAAGATTTATAAATATCATCAATACATGATGATACATGTTCATAAAGTGCATTAAAACGATCATAACGTTCTTTTTTAACTTTTTCAAATGCTTGTCGTGCACGTTTAGCTGCATTACGTGCACGTTCAAATTCAGCATTTGTTAATTCAAATGTTGTTTTAACTTCACGTGAACGTGCATCTATAGTTGATGTTTGTGGTAAATGTTTTTGTAATTGTATTTCAATATCAGATAATTGTTTAATTAATAATTTTTCTTCTTTATCAATTTGTTCATAATTTATTTTTTTTAAATCATCACGTAAACGTTTAAAATTTAATTCAAATCGATCTTCTAAATCATATATTTGTTTTGTATCTTGTTGACTTGTTAATATACCATCACCATTTGATATTGTTGATGAATCAGTTGTTGTTGTTGATGATTGTGTCATTGATATTGTTGTTGTAGAATTATTTTGTGTTTGACTACTTACTACACTTGTATCATCAGATGAAGATGTTTCAGCAAGTGATATAGCTGCCATTGAACCAGCATTACCACGAAATGGTAATGAAATTTCATTTAACTATTAAATATAAATGAATGAAAATATATAAATACTAGCGAAATCTCGTGCATGATGCATGGCTGTTTTCTTCATGAAAAGATTCACATCTATACTTTAATCCTGATTCGATACCAGACAATCAGACACTAATACTCTTGTAGCCTTGCCAACTTAAATCTTTGGAGCTTATAACCTTCTCCTTTATAGCCCGTTCCCTTAGGGCTCCTATAGGCTTAGGACCTTTGACGCGACACAGAGAAACACACAGACACTGAACCTTATATATATATAGATAAGAATTGAAGATTCTTTATACAGTCATTCTTAAAGCGAAGAACTTTATATTTTGAATCTATTCCAGATTTCTTTATTATTCATTAAATGAATATCGTCTCGTTTACGAAGCAAAATTTTATTTACTTTAGCTGTACGATAATAATTATGTCGCTCTAAACGTAATTTTTCAATATCACTTTCAATAAGTTGTAAACGTTTTCGTTGTTCATTATAATCTTTATTTAATTGTGTTGCACGTTTTGTACATTCAGCTATTTCACGTTCTTGAAATTCAATTTTTTTCTTATGATCTAATAAACGATCTTTTATATCAGCAATTTCATGTTGAAGATCTTCAATAATCTAAATAAATTTAAATAGAATTCTTTTTTTTTTTGTTTGTGTTTTAAACAATACTTTTCGATATTTTTTTTCATTTTTTTGACATTTTTGTAAAGCATCTTCTAATGTTGAAACTTCTTGTTTTATTTGTTCAACATGACCAGCTGTATCACGAGATCGTTCAAATTCAAGCATTGTTTGAATTTTTGTTTTTTGATTTTCAAATTCTAAACGTTCTTGTGCTCGTTTTTCAGCTGCTTGTAATTCTCGATCTTCATATACACTTTACAAAAAAGACAACAAAGAAACATTATAATAAATAAAAAAGAAAAAAACAATTAACAATATATATTTATATATTACCGAATATTAGCTACACGAATTTGTTTACAAAATTCAGTAAATACAGCATCTTCAATTTTATTTTTTTCTATACGTAATTTTGATATAAGTTTTTCTCTTTCATCAATTGATGCTTGTAAAGCATTGATTCTTGGCTAAAATAATATAATTTAATAAATATATATGTGAAACAATACCAGTAGACCGAAAAACTAGACATACAATCATTTTAACTAATAAACAGAGAATTTTCAATTTTTAGGAATGCATCGGAACCACCAATGAAAGATCTACAAAACTACACAAGGCCTAACTTTATAGTAAAATCTGTAATATATGGTTCGATATACCTTGATCTCCTCTTTTCAGCGGTGAAAACCGCAGATCTCTATCGGAAATTATTCAAAAAAATATCTACTGCTCTTCTATTTTGAAAGTTTCAATTGGAAATTCTAAAGTCAATTTTCAATATAACTTTAGTGAGTACGAGATTTTGTTAAGAATGAAGTTTTTTGAAAAGTTAAATCATTCTAAAAATTTACTTCATATTGAATAAGTTTTGTTTGTAAATCGACAAGATCTTTTTCCATTAAAATTCGAAGTTTTTTTTCTGCTGTTTCTTTATCTGTTTTCGAATAACGTAAACGACTTTCAAGTTGTTGTAATTGTGCACTAAAATAAAAAAATAAAAAAAAAATATCATTTTTATTTTTTTTGTTTGATATTTCTATTAACCGTGCATTAATTAATTCAGCTTCACGTCTTTTTTTCTTTTGTTGTTCTTTATATTCATCAAATAATTTATCTTTACGTAAACGTAATGTATCAAGATGTTTTTCATCCCAACGTTTAGCACGAGCTTTTAATTCACTATTAAAATATCAAAAAATTTAAATTTAATAAAAAAAAAGAAATTTTATTTTTTTTACCTTGATCCACCTGATATAATACCTGATTTACTAAAAAGTGTACCATTTAATGAAACAACTTTATTTTTTTGATTTCCACTTTCATATGCAAGTTTTCGAGCATCATCATCATTATCACAAACAAGTGCATTACCACATGCATAAAGTAATGCTTTATAATATTGTTTATCATATTTAATAACATCAAGTATAAGTTTAACATTTTTTGGTTCTTGTAATTCTCTAATAAAAAAAAATAAGGTTTTTTGGGGGGGTTTAATAGAAAATAAACAAACAAACCGAAGTTGTTCATTAATTGGTGTTACTTTAATATAATCAAGTGGTAAAAATGTTTCAGGTTCATAACGATGTTCTTTCATATAACGTAAACATGATTGTACTGTTGTTTCACGTTCAACAACAATTGAATCCATATTACGACCAAGAACTTTTGTTATAGCCATTTGAAAACGTTTATGTGTTGGTTCACATAAATCAATCAAACGACCATACTAAACAAATTAATTTTTTTTTACAAAATTAAGCGTGTTTTATATATATATATATAGTTGTAACATTCCACTATACACCATTTATTTCATGTCAATCTATAGAATGACTTTTAAAGAAATCTTTAGCATCATCTACAAACATTAACAATTTCAACTCTGTACCAATGACTATAACAGATTGATATTTAAAGAGCGTAACCAGAAGATAAGCAATATATTTGATTTCTAGTCTCACAATTAATGAATATTGTCAATGAGTTTGAGCAGACTTACACAATTGTTGCATTACATCGATGCTTGCTTTGCAACAATAGTTGTGCCACCGGAACAATGTTCGAATTGGTGGCGTAATCAGAAAATCGTCGGTGGGAGTGCAAAGCTCCATTTTTCGAGACGGTGTCCCATTGTTTTCAAAGACTCTCTGTACATTTATTTAGTACTTTTCCTCATCGGTGGAGAGCCAAAAATCTCGAGTGGAAGGGTGCCCTCCTTCCTGAATACGCCACTAGTTTGACTCGGGTCGGATCACCAACAATTGACTGATTTCAAAGTTTTTATGAGACAAACAGCAATTTCAGATGAAATAATGGTTTCTTTGTTTCGAATATACTTATTTCAATCTAAATAACGATTTTCACAAAGTTACATGATTTTTTTCAACTTTAATTATGAATCTAATATATTTAGATTTTTTCAAAAAATTCAATTTTATTCTTTGTAAGATTTAGTTTATGTTATTTGCTAAACGAGTCAATAATATTTACGTACCACACCAGGAAATTGTTTAAGATTTTCAATAAGTTCTGCACGTCGTTGTGCACGACTTGTTTCATTTCGATCAGACTATTAAACACAAATAAGAATGTTAAAATATTAATAAAATAAATTACTTACACGAGCTTCACCAATATCTTTATTAACTTGATCAAGTTCTTCTTCAAGTTCAGTACAACGTCTTCGACCATCGGTTACTTCTCGTTCTAATAATTGTGCACTTGCTTGTTTATCACTAAGTTCTCGTTCAAGATCACTAAAAAAAA